GGATATTTCGATTCCTATGAGCAATAGGCAGTCACTGCCCCTTTCACTGTAGGTTGTGTCCTACAGTATTTCTTTCCGAATATATTACTAACTGCAGTCAATGTTAAACTACAGGGACTTTGCGCACTCTCGGCCGAGCTGGATGTGTTGTGGAGCGGTTTTATACTTATATTTTGGGGAGCCTGTGACATTATTTGTGTCACGTTTCAAGTATCTTTTAGGCAATGTGTTTGCACTGAAGCACAATTTTAAGTAGTTTGCTTGCGTGGGTGAGACACTGCTGAAGGATAAGTTTATTAAAGTCAGCTCAGCAGGGGTACGCATACCAGACCCACCTGCTATAGCAGGTCGGTCTACTAGTATAATGCATTCCCTACTGTCTAACTTCTTTAACTGACACTTCGTTGCGAGAACGAAACCAAAGTATTCCAGGAAACTCGCGAAATCTCCTCTAAATATAATTTTCCGTCTATTGGAAAACCAAATCGATCATTTTGCGTTAGAAATGGAAACAGCACATGTAAACTTTCAAAAAATTACTAAGGAGTAGTGGGGCTTTTGGTATAATTCAGAGGTAATTCATCATAGTTCACTCTCAGTCAGCAAGCGTTGGCACATTTGGAAAAACCCCAGACAGCACAGCACTGTTTCGTCATTCTGGGTCTAGTCAGTGGTGCTCTTTCATCGGACCCCTGCTGGGTTCCGACTCCATGACTTCCGGATGCCTGAAGCTAGTGCTACTTAGCCATGGGTGATGGCCGCGGACCTGCATGATTGACAGATGAATATGATATAGCTCGGCTCGTCTTCCTCTGCCATGCAAAGGGCAGCAGTTAGCCCCACGAGCTAGGACATTCCGCATGGTGACTGTGTACGACAGCACTTAGGAGCCATACGGACGGCTTTATTTTAGCTTCCTAATGAGTAGTGGGGATTTTGCTATAACTCAGAAGTAAATCGTTATAATCCACTTACAGTCAACAGGCGTTGGCAAGTCTGGAAAATGACCCGAGAGCACTGTTTCGAACTGCTGGGTTTCGTCAGTTGTGCGTCTTCCTCAGCCCTCTGCCTGGTACTGACCTAGCCAAATGAGCTAAAGGCTGTCAATGCAACTTCAGTAGTCACTCTCTGCATTGTATAACCATAAGAAGAACCCACTGACGCTTTAATTGTCACGGACCCCCAACTGAAAAATTGCGACTTGTAATGTCTGTCTGCACATTTTGATTTGCATATAATTGTATAAGCCTGAAGCTGAATTATCGAAAACATATGTTCGCTTACCTTGATTTCTGATCATACTATGGGATTTTTAAACTGTGTAGCACTGGTTAGATCCTCTTGTGTTAAAATCGCTCAACAGATGTGTGGGCTTCAGAACTAGGATAGCGAAGGCGGATTTATGTCTCGATTTTCTCACTAAGTGAATAGAAAGCAATATTTATCCGACGAACTAATGGAAATCCCTTCGTCGCTCACGCATCAGACCGGATAGCATTTGTTTGAAACGCTTAGCATTAAACCAAATAGATGCCACTCGTATCAAAAGGGATGAGCTCAAACGTGTCCTGAGTCAGTCGTGTAGCGCACTGGACCGTCTCTCAACCAGGGACCGATCGGAGCTAGAGAAAACAATTAAGGAAATAATCACAAAACAAGAATCCAGATTGCGTCATCAGCTCACAAACACGCTGGAAAAGGAGAAGCCTTCAACATCTTTTCCGGCCGAACCATGCAAATGCATTGCATGAGGTAATCGCCCTGGATTTCAGTCACTAAGATGCATGCCACATGTCATCCGTATAATACATTTATGATCGAATATTCGGTAGCTAAATCTGTCGTGATGTGTTAAATTTCGGTAACTCGATTGTAGCTCGACAGCTTCATCCTTTCGGAAGCAATGATTGAGTGTCGCTGTAGGTGTCCACTTTTCCGCGGACCTTGGCAGTTTAGTTGGAAACAGTTTGTCACCAAGCAAAGTGACATACTCAGTGCAAAGTTAACAGTAGCCTGGTCGCGAGAAATTGGGTCAGGCATATTTAAGAATGCATGCCACCTGTTAGTGTGTTTCAGAGGCGTAGCACAGGGGGCGGAAGGGACAAGCCGCCCCGGGCGGCATGTGACAGGGGGCGGCAATTTTATTACCCTCGATTTTTCCGTACTACAAAAATTGGGCAAAATGTCCGGATAACCTGAAGGCCGAAGATTTTAATATTGCACCGTATGAGCAATAATATGTTTGCGTTACGTGTCATACCTGTGCAAAAGTTCTTCCCAGCAATTCCATTAGTTGTCCCATTTTGGTCACTTTCACCACGTTTACTTCAGGGTTCCAAAAGATGATGCATTTCGTTGGAAACTTATGTGCGCTTTCCCCTGAGCCGCTTGTGTGGCCTTCACGCGAGTATACTGCCCTCAGCCAATGCGAAAATTTCACCGCTGTCCAAGAGGCAAAAGTAGTTGTTAGGCCACTGTTGTGGTTCTCCTTATACAGATAAGCGATGATATTAAGTGCGCTTCATGCTGATTGGCTGTTCATCGATGTACCCAACGGAACTAGCTCAATTTCCATTTACAGTTTTTCACCCTTTTCATGCAAAGCTTTTACTTCATCAATTTAGTGGAAGACGCCGATTCAAATTCTGTTTTCACTCGGCGCTTTTGTCACGCTCTAGTATTTCAGGTTCCTTGCAATCTTGTGGACTAACTTTTTAACAGCACGAATGACGAATACATAACTGTGACGCAGTCATTATCATCATTCATTATTGTACACGTTAGCTGGAGGTGTACAATGCCGCAGCTACTGTGCTGCAATACATAAAAGCAAAAGCATACATAAATGCAACAGTTTCATGCCAGCTGAGCTACCAGCAACGAATGGGCATCGTTCCGGAAATCTACCAGCCCGCTACTAGACAACAACAAAAAATTATTATGTAAAATGCTATTATGCTACGGAATGAGATCTTGCTTGGAGTGGGTGACTAAAAGGGATGGGGAGGGACAAAGAAACTCACAGCAGGAACGCCATTGAGGTTGGCTCCTAACCATGCCATTGTGACGCACTCGTAGGAGTGAAAATAATACCATGAGCCATGACAAATAGTTTCTAGCGGAAAGTACGTTTTACAAACCCTTTATATGCAACCAACTGAATTTTATGTGAAGATACGCTCTGGATCGTGGCTGAGCAAACAGACTGCCTATTTCACATATGTAATACACCCATGACGGAAAAACTAGCCATCTAAAAATACCAGTCTTGCTGCCTTCTCCTGCATATGCTGCATTGGAGAAACCCATGATTGTGAAACATTACTGGAATGGATCTCAGTATTGGGACTGCAGTTTATTACTTTTCTGTTGTAGAACCTCATACGATAGCACATATAAATGAGCTACTGATGGGAATCCACTTTGAGACGGTTTGCACACCGTCAAAACTTAACCATATGTCTTGCATCGACGCAGGATGTCATAATCTCAGTAAAAGGGGCCTGCATTTTAAGGCGTTCACGGTCCCAATACTAGATCTGGAGCCTAATGTCAGATCAGTAGAATGCTCGCCTTTGTCGGATTGAGCGTATGCGACGGATGACTCCTCACCGTTTCAGATTGTCTTCAAGTAACTGTTAATGCGAATGATAGGTTTGTGCTGGATACGCCGATGGAAACACCGATGGAAACAAAAGCATCGTATTTGGGTGAAATGAAGCTACCGGGTTTTAGTTGGGTGAATTACTTGTTGTGAGGTCTCCCTTTACAATGGCCGCATGGTAGAATCGAGGAGATCCATTAAGAGTCTTATGACGAGCCTAAAGCGCACGGACGCGAAGTACTACGAACGGAGGAGTAATTTATGTGCCTTGTCTGCCCATGTGCATTCCTTTCTCACATATTTTCCTACCTATTTCTCGCCTATTTATCTGAAGCTATGTATTTCTGCGAAAAATTGGGATAACCCAAAGTAGTGGGCACCTAATGGTAGTGAAATCTGCTGCATCGGACAAGCACGGTACTAGCTTCTGCGATGAGTGGGACGATATGTAGCTAGCATTTGACGCATACGGACTAGGTGAAGTGTGATCTGAGTCAAGTCACAGTGTTCGCCTAAAAACAGTACAGACACTATTGAATATGGGTGGTGCTCTGGCTGATCCTGCCACTGCGCATCCTTTTGATTTGCACTTGACGGTAAACGAGGTAAACCTGGTACGCAGCTAGAGCTGAAGGACATGCATTTTCCGGCTACAGCGCTTTGGAGGGCCGATATGATAGATATGCTAACTACAGTTTAGTCACAATCCCGTCTGTGGTACCATCGGTTCCTTATATGTGTAGTTCGTATCTTTGATAGCGGAACACCACCAGCCCAAACTGTTCACTCAGTGCTAGGTGAACAAAATGCCACTTCGCCTAACACTGACCAATCAGGATAAAGCAAGTTCAGGTTTGATACTACACGCGTCAACGTCATTTGTGGTTGGACTATTAATGTGATGCTCGGTACTTCATCCAAGCGAGCCATGCCGTCCATTTGGGGAACATCGTCATAGGTTGACAGCACGAAGCATCGAGCATTCTAAAGTTGCTGATTGTTGCACGCTTATGCGGTACTTGAAGGACAGCTCAAATAGAGTCACTGCGAAGCACTCGGGCAACATAATTACAATTTGGGTGCAAACAACTATACTTTTAATAGCCAAATCGTAAGGGCTTGGATGAACCCTAGTAGCTTGATACTTCAAAAATGAAATATATAATATTATCCACTATTCGGTAGGACATAATTATCATCGACCGACCGGGAAATGGTGGTGTGTTTCCCACATATTTTCATGTATGCTGCATCAGTTGGGCCACGCAGCTATTCATTCGAATTGCCTATTTTCAACCAACCACTCATTAATTAGTAGAGTCTAAACTACTGTTAACACTAACGCAGTTGAGCTTATTTCTCGATACTATGACATCTAATTATTTATCCTCTACAGGACGTGTTGGAAACAATCGATCGGAACCAGGATGGCGTCGTTTCAGAGCATGAATATTTGGGTAAGTGTGAAGTTTAACCGGAATCAAATGGGGTCACTTTAGTATAATGGAAAGGCTTGCGACTGTGCTTCATGGGCTTAATTCGGCCAGAATGCTATTTATGCATTTTAGCAAATCGTGTCTGAAAACACACATTACTGAAAAGTTGCCCAAGAAACAAGAAGCTTGTTTTGTTGTGATAGCTGGACCCCATGAAAAAAATGCCCATTACCGAAAGCCGGTTGAAGTACGCGCAAAAGTTAGCATAGTTAGAGACATCCGCTTCTTGACGTGCGTTTAACCGTGATATCGAGGAACCACATTGCGTCAGCATCTAAGAAAGTGAGGGTGCATTAGTGACCTGCGTTGTAGTGGGCGCAGTCTCACCACCCTATTCCAGATTCGGTGTAAGCACACAGGAACAAGACCCAAATACACGCAGATGAGAGCAGCAGTCGGTTCGCAACCGGATCACATCACCTTGATGCACATATTGAATAAGTGAATCGTTAAGAAACATGTGTTCCAGTCTTACACAGGACGGTGGTTTTGTTGCATCTCGTTCTGAGACGGAAGCACCCTTTGATGTTAGCACGACCATGACAAACATACTAAGTGATAGAACTACCTGGAGCCGGCAATATAGTCAGAATTGCATGCAGTGCGATCTGAGCTGATATGTCACACACGTTTAGGCGTCCATGGTGCGTTCTAGTGGTACACGTCTATTGCCGGTGTATCGCAAGTCACGTCAGAAACAGTATCAATATTCCTGCACCACACGGACCAAGAAATTATTAATACGGTTTTGTGTAGCATCGTCGCAGTTAGACACAGGTCGACAGCCACCAGCGCTACTGACGGGTCCCGATATTACGAAGCGGCCGTCTAGAGCTTTCCCGGATTTGTGGTGGCTGTCGGTCTGTGTCTAACTGGGACGAACCAACACAAAACCTAATAAATCCCCCTACTGCTTACGAATATTAATACGGTTGTCTGCAATGAATACTAAGTGCATTAGACCAGCTGAGAGGTCGGATGCTGGAACAACTACATCAGCGCCCATCAAGTCACGAGGGTCATTGAAGGAGCAAACAAGCACGCCAATGCCGCCTACAGGTTTCCCAAATCGTTGGTGTGGACTGCTTCAAAAACGCCTGAATAAGCAGGTCTCGGAGGCGCAAATCAATGATGAATAGTGCTCTTATGCAAACGACGGTTATCTGGCGGCTGAACACGCAAAGTGACAAACTCCGACACAAGTCATCCATAAAAATTTATGGTTTACAAGCCCGCGTATTGATCAGTTATTTTAACAGATTCTCTTCGTTCCCTTCACTGGGCCCTAGCTTGTTCAATTTTATTTCCAAAACAACTTGCGTTGTTTCATCTTAAGATTAGAAGGCAAATCATCATACGTGTGGTATATCTAAGTCTGATGTTAAAATCATGTGTTCTGTGCAATCTAAATAAAAAGAATGCATACGATGCCTACAACTTACAAAAATGTCTACCTATAGTGGAGAACAACTGGTGGGAATTGGTGATAGTGGCTGGATTAAAGAGGGAGATGAGTGCTGAATGGGTGAGATGGGGACCCATGTGACATGTGGAATTTATGAATGCGTCTCCCTTGCCTTGGGATTCTACCGTTGAAATTCAGTGAGATCCGCACCTTTTGGCCCGTTGTCGTATATGTTATCTGCCTTATTGGTGCCACTGAACAGGCTATTTGCGATACAGCCAAGTGATTCTGTTGCTTTTGCTGAAACGCTCAAGAAATTTTGCTGACCTAGACAAGTTGTGGCAGTTGGTTCCATTAAACAACACACACGTTAAAAACCATTGTAAATGGTTACGCAATGACATATATCTTGTTTGCAACGCGTATGGGAAGTGTGGCTCCCGTAAATAATATGGATTTGACTGTTTCGAGGTAAAATTTGGAAGAACAGTCAAAGGTACTTGTATAAAAGTGTATCTCTGTTTCTGAGGTGGCGACACGTACCGTTCTTGGTAATAAAGTATGGACACCGCACAAATTAGTTTCATGGTAACGTATCTTTGAAAGCTTTAGAAAATATTGGTAGCACATTCAGATGATGCTTAGTATCGGTCCAACGTTTTGTATTATGTATGCTTTCTACTATATCTGCGTGATGGCTTCTCATGCTAATGACTTAACCATATTTTATTCCTGTTCATATCACGTCCTACACATGTATAGGTTTGCCCAATGCGCAGATATGTGGTTAAGTGCGCTAGCATTGTAAGTACGTGAAATTACCTAACTTCCTCGGAATCACGATTGTGCACTTTGTGGTAAACACTCACTAGATTAACGACCAAGAATTAAATCCATATTCTTTATCCAGTACATATTGACGCAACAAGTAACACGCGCTACTTACTACTGGGGCCAGTTATGTCTGGTCGCTGGCAATGGGCCATACTTGAAAAATCCAACGTGTATGTTTACGCACCAAATAGTTGGTTCCCGAGGTACGTCCTATAGAACCGTCGTTATTACGCGTGTTGCAGAAATGGGCAGATACCTGAGCCCCATCAGTTAGTAGTTCCAGGAGGCGCTGTGTGGCGAGTTGTTTGGAATAAGCACAGTCCTTCTGAAAGTGAAAGACTCAAACAGCCATTTCGTCGTGCAATGAGCTGTAACGTGGACAGCATCTTGGGTATGTCGGCTTTGCGTTTTCTCCAATCATGCACCCCTAGTAGCCTAAGATACAAACGTTGATAGAGTCAAGTAGTCAAAATTTGCGCTTTCTCCACTGATGGGTGTCCTAACTGCGTTCAGCGCAGGATCCCATCTTATGTAAATGTAACTGCCATACGTTAATGAACGGTATACCCGCTCCTAATAAGCCCCGGCCGCCTTTTACCTGCGTCTTAGCCTCATTCGCTTTGGTTGATACTCAGTAATGGGTTCGTACATCCGTGGCTGTGAGAGGTGAAATACTACTCACCGACAGTCCCTGGATGGAAGAACGCTCCCTTTAGTTATCTGCAGTCCCAGTGCGAGACAGCCCAGAACGGTATCCAGCGCTTTTAGTCCTCATTGTTACCCTCATACTTCGTCACTGTACCAACAGACATCGCCAGTATCAGCCATTTTGGTTGAAGGATCTGAATAGCATAAAAGCCTCACAAATTCAATAGCTAATTGGCTATCTGTTGCTTACTGATCAATTTCCAAGCGAGAGGTAATTCTGGAGAATGGCTTTCAGTCTAAGTTGAAAGGCATCAGAATATCGCAGTTTCAAGTGCATTTACCAGATGTATGACAGGCAAAATTGCGCCAACATGGAAGATGACTACTTATCACGCGCTCAATGGGATCACTAGGGATTTTATAGGCCCTGACCTTCGAATAGCTTTAGTAAACAAGAGATAAAACCCAGAGATTTACTCTGGTTTTAATTACGTATTACATCTCTGTGGATTTGACAGGACGTATTTTGCAAAGCTAAACATTAAAGTTGATATATTCCTTAGAGTGAACAGTATAGAGTTCAAATTTAATCATTACTACTTAAGAGATGTTATCAGATATCTTGTCAGACAGCTACCCTTTGTTATGTGGAAGCTACAGTTTGACAAACGGAAACAGGAATTCGCTGTTGATGAAGAGATGTACAGGTTGGAGGAAGGTGTGAGTGCCAATTATCAACCAAATTAATCATGTACTATTTAGGTGGGCCACCAGTTTTGCATGACAAGCCTTTCGGTGTTACCCCGCTCGAAAACCATCAGCTCACATTCCACAGCGTTTATACCTCAGCCATTCTAGTCTACGCTTACTCGGAGTGGCATTTTTATTAAACTTACTTGAATTGTAAGTCATGCACTATGACCAAATAGGGTGTCTAGAGAGCTATCACAATGAGAGATATCTGTGCAACTACACATTCCACATAACTTGTTTTGTGTATCCTTTTCAAATACTCTAGCATCACAAATTAATACGGATAACTCAGATTGTGGCGTCCTCTTGATCGAAGGGTATCTTCAGAAACTAGTAAACATTTGCTTTGTATTCCTTGGATGTACTGATGTCAAGAACTTGGTTATCTTCTCAATTGAGTGGAATCGATTTTTACCCGCTAAGAACTTCAAAGTCTGACTTTCTGGTGATGCTGAGATGAATCACCTATTTCCGCTATTTTAATACTCTCTATACTAGAAGTAGTTCTAACTGGAAGGGTCATTTTAAAGTACCCGTTGTACGAATGAATCGCGGCGCGTACTCTCAAGTACCTCTGTCCTTTTGTGGTGTCAAACGGTGCTGAACTGGATCGTTTGGTGTGTATGGGCGGATGCATTTTGTCCCCCATAAGCATTCTTAGATGGTAAGTGAAAATCACATGAAACGAACTATCTGATGTCTTGGATCAATGCTATCGGGTAGCAATTGTTCATTTATCCTATGTGTCCAGTGATATACCAAGTCGCCCGACCACTTGTTTTCCACCCCGGGGAAAAATGCATCTGCCACTCCTGCATGCACCGTACTGTTTCAATCAACAAGTCAATGTCGGCTGATAATTCCGAATTATGTAGGGACGGTACATAAGGTAGACAAACAATTTTGATCTACTTAGTAGACAGACAAAAGCAATGTCCACAGTTGGAAAGGAGAAAGGCAAAAGGATCTGTATATGCTAAAACTAAGTAACAGCAAGGAATGACAAGAAAGCGATAAATCAGTTGGAATCTTATAAGCACACATTAGGTTTTAGCCTCAAATGCACTGTCTTCCTTCAATGAAACAATGGAACAATGGTGTATTACGGGTAAAAAAACAAGGCTCAACAATTCCCGTGGGATAACAATTATGGGGAAAATAAAATTCGTGACAGTGAAAAGCGTTTTGGTGAACTCACCATAGACATGCGTAGAAGAACTGAGGTGTTCACGTCATAAATCCATTGACTGGAACTTTGGAAGCACACACGTTTTTTGCGTTTTGTAGTTGCCTGGATAACGCAAGCTATAAAATGAAATGCCAATGTGAAAACTCCTTGTCAATTCGTTTTTTAAATATCGTTGAATTGGGGACAGAGACAACATAATTTGGGAGAGCGTTCCAAGGCTGGCACACTCGGAGAGAAAAGAAAGCTATACGGTATTCAAGCGGCTAAACTGTATCTCCAGTTTCAGAGGATGAGCTGATAATTTTGTGTTGTGCTTCCTTTTCAGCGGTGGACGGCAAATGTGGTTTAAGTTTTTCGGAGTCCGGCAAACCATTTTGAGGTCCCCCGCAAACCTCGATATCGACTTTAAGCTAAGCTAATAGAGCAGATGGAAGAGGGTGCTAACGTTCTTGCTTGCCTTCTCTTGAGCAGTCTCGAGAGCAACTAGATCTGGTTTCTGTCACGACTGTCACGTCTGCATGGCGTATTCCACGTGTGGTCGCACGTGGGCATTAAGCGTTTGTGGGAATTTTGAGGGGTCAAACCGACCGAACGCTCTGCGAAGAAGGCGGAATTGTTGATTACCGGTTCTCGACGCCTTCTCTACATGTTTTGAGCATCCGAGACCGTCCTGTATGAATGCACCCAAGTCACACTCCTGAGAGGTCATCTGCAAGGTGTGGTTTCCAAGGCTGTACACGCTCACCGTTTCATGACGCAGCTGGATCACTTTGCAGTTAGCTGTGCTGAACTGGAGTAGGTTCTTCGTTGATCATTCATAAATGCAGTACAGGTCGTGTTGGAGTAGATGGTGATGTGACTTTTTGTTATTAGCCCGTCATATCTTGACATCATCGGCGAAAAGCAGAAACTTGGAAAGGATAAGTCTTGTCAGGTCGTTGATAAACATTACGAATGTGCCCGGTCCCAGCACCGAGTCCTATAGGACACCACATTACACCTCAGTCGGGTTGGATAGTGATCCCCAAACAAGCACTTGATGATTACGTTGATGATAAAAGTTGCCAGTCCAACCAAGGACAGCATCTCTGATTCCGTCGTTCTTTGGCCAGTGAAGTAGGATGCGGTGATCCAGGCGATCGAAAGCTTTGGAGAAGTCCAGTTAAATGACGTTGTTGCGGGCCCGTCAAATATTCCCGCAGAAACGCGCCAGAAACCCCGGCAGAACGGCTGTGGAAAGCGAGGTTCAATTCCTCCTCACAACGTAGCAGAGTTAAGCCACTCCGAGACGCGACCCAACTGCTCACCTTCAGACAATGGTCTTGGTAGCAATTTTCCCTAACTTAATGACCCATAGGATTGACTGTGGTTCGCCCTTTGTTGATCGTAAAAAAGCCTTCAGAGGATCATTGACCTATTTTTCCTCCTCGCCTCAGTTGGGAGTCGGTCGGGTTACGTGAGATTGTGTGCGTCGTTGAATTGTCAGCGTTCGCGTCTAAGTCACTAGTGCGCGTCTACCATAACCCCCTCTCGTGTGCGTTCGTTCCGAGGGCTCAGCGTCTACCCGAATACGTGCGGCTAGGATCGTTCTCACGCTCGCTCAATTTCTGTCTCACCAGCGCGTACCCCGGGCTAAGCTAACGCCATCAGGTCAGCGCAAATCCGTTCGATTGGTCAGCGTTCCAGGCCGTTACCGTAGGCGTGCCCCAACCGTGCTAGTGACAATCTTATCAGGCGTTTCGCAATCAGAACAGAAGCGTCCCCTCAAGTATAACAGACGTCAACTCCGCCCCCACCATCAGCCACTTCCGTCCAACAACATGCAAGCAACAGATTAGTTGTGCGTGACTGGTGTTGACTAAAGCCGTGCTGCTCCGGTGCCAAGAGGTTGCGTTTTCCAGGTAGTTCATTAGAGCCTCAGCGACGACCGTTTCCATCATCCTCGCCAAAACAGGGAGGAGAGACTCTGCACGCTAGTTTGTAGGCTTTGAACGGCTGCCGACTTTGAAAATCGGGGCTTTAATGCTAAGCTTCCACATAGTGGGGACTTATTGATTATCGAAGCACCTATAGAATAACTGTGACCGTGACTAGGCTAGATTGGTGGCCACAGCCTTCAGTGCTTTCGGCGTATTTTGTCGGTTCCCGGAGAGCTATGATCGCACAGTGAGAGTAACTTCCTTAGGTCAGTAGGTTGAAATGGGTTGATGGGTTGAAAATTACATGTGCAAACCCTGGAATCGGTAAATTGGTGCGGGATGTGACAAGGTCATGGTGATAGTACGAACATCGTGGCGTATTGTAGCCGCAGATCATTGGCTACTTCCTCTGGGCTTTGTACCCTACAGCCTGTTGGGAAAAGTGGAGGGATATCATGTTTTACTTTACGAAGATAGCTGCTATGTCTATACAGTAGTTTATTTTAAGTAGTAGAGGGATTTATTGGGTTTTGGTGAAGATGCAACGAAGGTAGACTCCGGAACACAGCCACCATACATGCAGCAAAGCGCTAGACGGCAGTCTCGTCCTATTAAGATTCGTCAGTAGCACGCACCCGCCGAATCCTGCCGGATACCAACACACGACATTACTCATGCGAACCAGTGACTTATGCCCCTGAGTCATGGACCTCTGCAGTGGAAGAATTGTGTACAGATTTTTGAGTGTGTTGACAAATCGATCCTACTCAAGTAGCGGCTTTCAAACAAGTGTTTGAAGCGTGAATACAGACTTTATTTCGAGGCGCACTCACTTCATCCAGTAGGACGAACGAGTGTCTATGAATCTCTTTGATTGTGAGGAGCTATCCTTTGCCAGTTCTATTTTCATTACTTATCCAAAAGCATCCCATACTAACTAATCATTTTATGTACCAGAATGCTAAATAAACAGTATTGGGATGTGTTAATCCTACCGGTGAGGTTCCATGTAGGCTTCTAACAAGTCTAGACGTCTCTGTACTGTGGTTGTCGTCCCCACTCGTCACTCTAAAAGTTTCCGAACATTGCGATGTAATATCCATTTCTACGAGCAAATAAGTTACAGACTACTGTGCATACCGCACGTCCTGGCGGTCAAATGCAAAAGCTTGCCCTGTTCATCCACTATTAGGGCTGCTTGAGCCTTTATCCAAAAACATGCCATTGTATATTCATGTCGTCAGATGGTTGTAAAATTCTTTCAGTACATCGTTAGTTACTTTTTAATCCATGGCTGCATGTATTCTACCGCACCGGCTTAACTAGTAGCTTGTATTTTCCCCTGTGCTACTCAAAAAGTCGACACACTGATTGTATGGGCTATAAAACTTGCTTCTAGGTGAAGGGGACAAGATAGAGACAAGTTCCTGGTTTTATTGTCGACAGGCGTCTGGGCACTTGTACTAGTTTTTCACTCGAGTTTCTATATGAACATTTCCAACCACTACATGATGGTCTTGAAAAACTCCGTCTGTTTTTCCTACACACCCTATGCCTCGGTTTCCTACCAGCATTCTATCTTTTCGTACCAGGCATGAATACTTGTTGACCCGACGAAAATCTTCGGCATAATCCGCAGTTATTTACTCGAGTGATATGCGTGCATATTTTCCACTAGACCCTTCGGTTGATTTTTGTTGCATCTATTCAACTAGGTTCTCGTTCATAATCATAGAACAAAAGCCTATGATGCCTTGAAGGAACCGACCTACGGCACGGTTAAACGAAGCTCGATTCCTAATTTAGGAAATGTAACAACACGAATGTGCAAGCAAGTGAATCTAAGCGCAAGGATGGTAAGCATGAAGTCAAAATGGATCAGCGTAGGAGACAAGGTAGACGTGTAAGCCTTATCGCGATCAGACGAACGAACTAATTAGTACAGAGTGTGGATAGTACCAAGTTTGGATTATACTTCGGCGAACTCTGTGCTTTGCACTTGTTTGGATATAATAGGAGTGGAGTTATTCCTGTTGACGCTGGTTGCAGCTGCTTATGTAGAGCTATCATTAAATAGTACACAAAAGCTAATTCCGGTCATCTTGTGAAACAACAAAGTCTTCGGTGTCTTGACCCCGAATGAGGTACCTGCGTGTCCCTACCCTCACTGGCGGTATGACTAGTGGTATAGAATGAGACTCAGTACCGCAGCATTACATTTCATCATTCCGGTTGCCACTGACCTCCTAGATAAATGTCATAAGAGTAGGGTCAAGTAATTCGAGCACTTAATTGATCGGTAGAGCATACGATGGTCATGAGTCCTAAGATCACGCCGGTTACGGAGGTGCTTGGTAAATATCCTGCTGCTTTTGCTTGTAGTCGGTATCATCGGAAGCAGTTACTTCTGTGCAACCCCGCAAAACACCGTCCAAACTGTAGCAACAGATTATGCTTTCAGTAAAATAAAAATTATTCAGCAAAGTTGGCAGCTTGCTGTCTTAACTTATTTAGAGTGAGATTGCAGTAAGTCGCTTAAACTGGTTTATCGGGGAGTAATTTGCTGCTGTAATCAGACTTCTGTTAACTGAGCGTCCGTTGCACTACCAACTGTTGTCTTTTTCTTCTGGTGAATGCAGTCAATGGCTTAAGAAACCAGGTTGGTAGACAAACATCGAAACAGAAAGTCCACAAGGTTGAAGCAATCCAACATATAAACAATACTATTATCTCAGGTTAAGAATGGCTTTAATTGCAGGAAGTTATTGTTCGCTTTTCTTTAGTACAGTATCCAACTGCAACGGAAGGGCAATTAATCTATCCCAGACGTTTCAAAACTTGTGAAATCATTGAGGTACAGCCGACACGTTGAAGTCTGGCGATCGAAAACAGTGCCCAATAGAAATAAGGCAATCTGACACCCTACAAGTTTGTGTAAGTATAATCCATTGATGCACGTTGCATTAAATGAATAACCTCCAAACGGAGCAGACACTTTTCACAAGGTTGCTCACAACTACTTCTGTCGCCCCCAATGTGTAGAAGAACTCGCTCGGGCCTACCGTTCAACGTACATTCAGGGTGTCGTGGAACCCAAATGGGTATTTAAGGAGAGAGTACAATTTCGAAAATATCTCGATACGGACCGTAATGGACTACTGAACCATGAAGAAATTGGTGAATGGGTACTGCCTCAAGACTACGAGGAAAGCGAAGCTGAGGCACAGTATCTCTTCTATCACGTTGACCTGAGCAAGGTAAGTACAATGAAAGCAAACTTAACTGTTACATTTTTAAAAGCAAGTTCTAGCTTGTATTATATCCTCTCAGTAAGCCGCACTAGATTTTTCACTTTTCTTGATATACCTCATTCTTTTAAGCACAAAATTGTATAATGTGCAAGAATACGTCACATCCTGGTCGGGATAAAAACAGGTCAACTAAGTGTATTAGTAAGTTGCCAGTTTTGAGATCCTGTCTAGAAACATATCTGCCATACGGATCTATTTGTAAATGCAGGCTTTTAAAACTATTCCAAGGGTTTTAGATGCAAGAAAATATGCCAACTTTTTCCACATATAAGGGGATACAGTAGAGCACTGGTGTTTATTTTTCTTCACCTTCAATGAACACTGAACCATGATGAATGCCAGGTAAAATAGCAGTTGCATTGACAATTCGCGCAGGATAGGAGAGGTAAAAGTACAATTATCAAATTATAGGTGAATTGTGTGTTTAGTTTTTATCGATCTGATACACCGCTTAATAAAAGTAGTGCAAGCGCGAACTGAATGCGAACGATGAAGCAACAAGGGGATAGTTATAATTTTACTCCGCGAGAAAAGTAAAGACAAGAATATTCACTTCAGTACCGCATCCTCCGGTTTATGGGACATAATAACCCGGTTTTAAAGGATAATTATTAGCTTCCAAAGTTGCACAGTTTAAGCAACAAAGCGATAGGGGGCAAAGGCAAGAGCCAATCATTTTTTGAAAATATCCAAAGTAAAGGAGGTGGCAACTAAGTTTGGGAAAGAGTTCCAGGCTTGAAAAACTCGAAGAGAAAAATATTTGCGCAGGTATTTCAGGAGGCTATACTGTGCATACAACTGTAGAGGTTTAGCTCTGATATTGGTGTTATGGGTGAGTTTCAGCAAGTGACGGCATACGTGATTAGGGTCACTTATTATTTGGTAGACTAATATGACATCGTCACACAAACTTTGGTAGCCGCCACTGAAAACTCACAGTGACTTCAGCTTTTGATATTAGGATAGATTTCCTAGGCCATTGACGTTCTTTGTGGCGCTACATTGTGGTTTCTCCAGCATTTCTATATCATGCTTCAACCAAGGTTGCCTATCTTGGATGACGTATTTAACTGGAGGGTGCATGTAAGAATTGTGCATTACGGAAAAGATGAATGGACCGAAATTTCCGTATGCTCTACGCAGCAAGCCCACAAGCTGGTTGGGTCTCTTCGCAGCTGCCTCTGCCTACTTTGAACAGTTAAGGTCACTTTCAATGAGCACCTCAAGGTCGCGTCCCTGGGAAGTGGTTTGTAATACATGTGACTCAAGCCGTTGCATGTACTCATGCCTATGGCGCAATTGAACTGCGTGACACCGTTTCACATTGAACGGTAGTAAATTCTGAACTGACCAGTTCGAAATCGTATTGAGGTCACGCTGGAGCTTCGCGTAGTCGTTCGGTTCTTTGATTGCTCGCCATAACTTGAAATCATCCTCGATGAAATCGGAAATAATTTCCCTCGCCAGAGCGTTTATGAGATTCAAGAATAGACGGGGCCCGAGCACCGAGCATAGTGGTACGCTGCACTCCACCTCAATTACTTCGGACAGGGATTCGCGTATTCTCACCTCCAACCGGCATGCATGAAGAAAATCGCCTATCCAAAGCAGCTGTGGGTCATCAGTGCCTACGTCTCTAGCAGAGAATTCAGTGGTCTAAGCATCAAAAGCTTTTGAGGAGTCCAGGTACAGGACCTCCAAGTCTGCTCCACCATCAACTGCTTCAGTCCAGCTAATGATTTGCAGTTCACAGATTCGTGTTGCATAAGCTTTTTTGTCGGAAGCCATGTTGTTCCGGTGCTTTCATGTTGGGCTTTTCAAGATACTGCATGAGTGGATCAGCGATGGTAGACTCCAAAATCGTGGAAAGCACAGGGAGCAGCATTATCGGACGAGAAATCTCTCGGTCAGTACGACTACCACATTTATGAATAGGAGTGATGATCCATTGCTTCCGTATTGTTGGAATATGGTTATCCTCCATACACCGCTGATAGAATATAACCCGTGGTTCCGCCAAATCACTGGCTGCTGCCTGTAAAGCCTTCAGTCGAATGTTCTCGATATCAGGAGAGCTGTGGATCCGCAGGGCCAACAGTTTCTTTAACACAATTTCTGCAGTAAAGGTGATATTGTATAAAGCTGATGATGGGACAACTGAAACGGCGTAAACGTATGTCCTCTTGTTTTCTGGAACCATTGTGAGTATTGGCATCGTAAGATTTCGGCAGCCTCCGTTGCTGATCACATGCACCCGTCAGTCGTGATCAGTGCTGGAATTCCGCGCTGCACATTATGAAGGCCATTTACATGCTTGCATAAGATTGCAGTACCTGCAGAATAGTCTCATTAACCCTTACTGATGCGTCACGTTGTCCTCGTGAATCAAACGCAAACATAATTTACACTGTGCCACATAGACAGTCCATTTTTCGAAATTCGGGGTCACTGTAAACTCACAATACTTAATCCCTCAAGGACATACATTTACATGTTATGCTTCTCAAAAATGACATCCTACCACTTTGACCATGGAAGGAGTTCTGCTCAGACATGTGCGTTACCAGTGTGCTAAATGTCCTTGTGAAAGTGTCCCAGGCGATTTTTACGAGGAGGAGCATTCATTTAAGAAGGTCCATGATACCTCCTTAACAAGCGCGGATAACACGTTGTAGTGCTTGAGCGTTTACACTTTATTATCCTGTTCCCCGGGATATTCCGCATAGCATACCTAGTTAAACAGTAGAGTGCCATGGTCACTGCGACCCAGTGGTGTGCTTGTAATTATTCCGTCGACCATGAGTTCTTCGTTGATGAGCACAAGATCAAGTATCAACGGCTTGTTAGCTGTTTGAAACCTGGTGGGAGAGGTCACGTGAGTGTACAGCCGGTAGCTGGAAATTGCTTCTTGTATACAGCCTTTCAACTGTATGCTATCAGTTGCAGCTATCTCCAGGTCATGCATATTAAATTCGCCTGCGATAAGAATGTGACTACATGCTTTATCAAAGCAACCTGAATAACTTGGTTCAGTTTGGATGCCATTTCACGCTTAGAGTTCGGTGGATGGTAAATCACAACTATAAGATATATGTCTTTGTTTCACAACCATAGCCGGAACCAAAGTGAATCTGGGGCACACACACCTAACTGGTTAATAACTTCACACCGGAGGTTAGCCTTGTAATAGAGAATTACGCCACCACCGCTTCCAGCTCTGTCATTCCGAAGCAGTGAGATACCAGGTAAATGGACTTCAGAATGTGCTATCTCAAGGCTTAACCAGGTCACGGTAATCATCGAGAGATTGCGCGGTTTTGACTCCTGGCGTTCTCTGTTCAGTCAACTCACTAAGAAGTCCTTGTGCGTTAGAATAAAAACAGGATGGTGATTTGGATGTTAGGAGTGTGTGGGTGGACAACAAAATCGCGTTTAATTTTAAGTCGGCCGTTCGTCGGTCGCCCGCTAATCATCTTTCGCGTGGGTCTTTGGTTCTTAAATTTCAAGCAGGCTACATAGTAGTAAGGGGTATTCCAGATCGAGATGTTCTCTCGTGTGTCTCCCTGTCCCGTCAGATGTCGCGAATGCTATTTTGTCTACCACTCTGCAGGATTGTGGAGGCAAATATTGTGGTTGCATGTTCCAATGACTTACTGATAACTAGTGGTCATGCACCTTCTATCTTTAGCCTACTCTCGGTAGGAAACTTGGAGCGATGCTTCAACCAGTTATCCAATAAGACTTCTGTCATTCCATCGGAGCGTAGCAAGACTTCCAATATTTTTGGACCGCAGCGCTTGTAGTTTGGGGAAGAAGCAATTCTCCTTAGGGACTAGGTGATTACGTGGTCCAGAGAGAGTGTTTCGCGGATGTAGCACCACTGCTCTCGGTCAAGCTTTTACGCTTCGTGTTTAGGAGAGTCTATTAGTTCAGGAACACCAGGAACAAATACGGTTTTGCTTATGCTCGTAGAAGGGTTTGCCATGGTTTTCTTTGTCCTTTGACCGTCCTTTCCAAGATATGTCTGGTAGTATGCGTACCCCGCTCGATTAGTTGCGAATATGAACTGCTGCGAGTGAGACAGTCTCTGTCTCCTCAGTTAAATTCAAGATTACTAGAAGAAGTCAGAGTTCGAAGTAGTGCACTGAAGTTAGCTGACGCGCTACGCATCATAGTCTAGTTGGGTCAACCCGAATACCAATCGCATGGCAGATGGAATGCCACTAGTTGCGATCACCTAACAACTTGCCGTTTATTGTGCCCGATCTAGACTCACGAACGTTAGTGCACACGACCGTTGAGGCACTGGGGTTCTGTTTATCGAATTCGCTTTTGTGTTATGGCTGGTAACTTGGATTGTTTGGCGGGTACTGAAGAATGTCGTGTAAAAGGCGTCGCATCACACGGACGTACAGCTGCCTCTTTAAGCGTTGTATCGAGGCGATCGATGCGTTTGCTGTCCGGTTCTGCATTGTTGGTGTCGGTGTTGTGACCAAGTTGTGAGATATCACATCTAGGGATGAGTTAATAGCAGTCACGTCAGATGTGTTTTGCCTACTTACAGGGTTAGTACTTGTCGGAGTAGGTGGAACAAATGCCGTTTGGCGGTTAGCAAGATTGTCTTTATCCTTCGACTTAGAGAGAGAGCTCTGAGTGGTTCGCTTTGGAGTAAGGTCAGTGTTGTTCGATTCTACTGGCAAAGCCCTGAAGCCCGTCATCTGCTGGACTATTTCAGTCAGTTTTTCACACTCTTACACAAACGATACTGTACATTTGACTATTGAGATTGCTCTGCAATTGGGCTAAACCAGAGTGAATCAGTCAGGTTGGTTTGTCTCTTGTATTGTAGTTGACTTAAATCAGCACGTTCGCTGCGTGAATTTGGGAGTTTCACGGTGACACATAGTCTTAGTAGCTTCAAAATCACATTGTTAGACTGTTTACTGAGCCCATTTCGCAACAACAACAACTGGTGTGTTTGTCTAAGGTCTGTTGATTAATCTCGTGTTGATATTTGCACTGTAACATCGCCTATGGGTCAAGCAATTGATGTTTGTATCTGCAGGCTTCTTCATTTTGCTAGTTTTGCAAGCCACATGTCATATATTAGTAAAATATACCGCCTTGAATTTATCAAACGTCTATTTGTTTCACTTTCAGGACGGTGTACTAACTTTGGACGAAGTCATGGCAAAAGCTGACTTATTTTTACACAGCCAGGTCACCAATTTCGGTAAAGCCATAGAGTATTATCTCGACCTATGAGTATGCCATTTTCGCTTCCCCATCATCCACCGATGCTTATGCACATACACCCAGTAGACCCCATATATTAGCATGCGTCCACCGAGCAAATCCCATCGGTGCTGAGACACCATCTCAGACGGCTATTATCGGAAGCAACACTCCTCAAAGGCGGTTGGCGATCATACATCAGTTGATGCTATCTCCAATCACCAGAAGCCCAGTGATGTCATGTACATTTGCGCTGTGAAGAGCTGCAGTAAGGTTACAAATTGCACCCACTTCGAGAGCATGTTCACCGAGATCTATGACGGATAGGACCTCTCTTACTTGTAGCTAACTTCTTTGTGCAATTTTAACTGTGTACGATGTGCACTCCTTCGTAGCAATGGAATGTAGTGTGCGCAACAGTGGTTGGTGTTTTAAATGAATATGTACAATAGATATGTTTTATGCCATCATGTGTTCATGTGATTTTCAAACGGCGGTGCCGAGTTGGAGAATGCAGACAGCTGCAAGTAGGTTCCTTGAGTTAATTATGTTTGTACACCAGACCTCGTCAATTAATAAGAATCGATAGGAAAAATATGATGGTTTCAAAATTTCCCTTTGATCCTGTCCATAATGACGCGATTTTGACCGTCCCGAATCAGAGTACTATACAAGTACTTTCGAAGTTTTAGGAAACAAACGGGTTTTCATAAGTTAGTATTGCGGTAGGTGACATGTTGTAATTTGATCAAGAGAACTCTGAGGATAGATTTTGTTCTTAATGAACTTGAAGACATATCAATAAAAGCCATAAATAATAATTCACGGCAAAAATGTACGAAAACTCGCGCTCTCGCAAAACAAGCGGAAACACTCAGGTTAAAATAGCGCATGTTTTCCACAGATTGGTAAACCCCGCTCCCATTGCGAAGTTCTGAATTGGATACAAGCGAAAATCCGTCCTACAATATTGTCTAAGGTGGATTCTGGATGAGAATTCGCTGGCTAGGTAGGGCTACAAGTTTATTGATAGACAGGATCAAAAAATGGCTGTCATGCCTATCACGTTCAACATTCTGCCAGATATGTTCCTTACGGTAAGGTATAGAGTCTGCGGAGTTTGGTATTTGCCAAATTATTACAATACGTAAATCCAACACACACTTGGCAGGTCATCGGTTTCTGCCTTGCCAGTTTACCAGCTAAGCAGCCGCGGCTCCAATTACGCGCTCTATCTGGTGCAATGTTCGAATGAACACGACAAACTCTTTTGCCTACATAACCAGCGTATCGTACATGTCACTGCAGAGATCGGCTCAGTGGTAGACGAAGTGCATTCTATTAAAATTAGGTGAACCTACATCTCTCAGTATGTTCAGTATTGAGAAACCATGTATACTTACCGCATTGAACCTTGCACCGTGTGTACCTTAAGGTTAGAAGACGTAAAGTACTGCCGGACGAGCGGGTAATTGGAAAGCGATCTGCCCCTATCAAACCACCTCCCTGATTTCCGAGTAGACTGGTAACAATCAGACGCAATCAAGCAATCTCACCATAACTTCGCCTTCCTTTAGATGGCACGATCAATTGTAGTAATAAAATCCCAGGAAATAATTACTCATCTGAGTACATAGGTCAGACAGCGCTACCGCACCACATAACAAGTTTAACATAGGACATAAGTGCCACGGTACCCGATAATCAAGTCTAAATGTGGAGATCTATCAAGTGTTGCAGTGGTAACGGTGCATACCTTGGACCAGTGCGATCCACGCCTACTGATGGGATGGTGGAAATAGCCATAAGCAATAACTGCATGACGAGAAATATATCGGTGAAATGCATAGTGCTAAGTAGTAATTCTGCCGACTCTGCGATGAACCACCAACATTTTACCCAGCACTAAAACCATAAGTAGTAACTCGCTGTTACGTGAGCTGTCTAACCAACAGGATCACCATAGACGATAATTTAGCATACACTTGTCATCGCCACCCGATGGGCCTCTCTTTGTTGTGAGGTTTGCACATTTTATGTAAGTCCACTTGACCAAAACAAGTGTTTATGTCAAAAATGCAATGTTAACCTCAATTTATCAATTAATTTACCACAATTTACTAACTGATCGTGAATGTATGGTCTCAGAAGAGTCTGGAAACAACTGCAGGTTATATTTAGAGGGCAACCCATCGCATTTGATACAAAAGCTTCGTTAGGCCAAATGAACCAGCGGACGATTGGTGTTGTATTTATGACAAACTAGGACGATAAACACGACGTCCGAGATAAAAGTAGGATGGCAATCATGTTATAGGTCAGTGTCATTTCAAGAGGTAATTTGGGATGGTAAGATCTCAGATGATTCATCCTACAATGCGACCACATGTTAGTTCTTGCCAGTGAGCAGGGTACGGTTTGTTTACATTTGCGCCATGCCCATATCCGTCCGCCAAAGCCCATCAGACTGGCCGGGGTAAGACAGCTTGCTATACATGCCATGAACAATGGACAAGGAAATATGAATGTTTACGGGTTAAAAATTGTTGCTTTACAAGTCCCGTTGTATTGTTGATGGGAAACCATAACAATAATCATAATAATAATACCAATAATAATAAACCAGTGCTTTAAATATGAAAATAAAGACTGGCCCTTTTCGCCCAAGTAGTATTACAATCCGCGTACATTCACAGCACCCACAGTTGACATCAAATAAACCCGTGGTACACTTCAGGAGAAGCGCTAAGCAACAAAGCGGAAGCGGAAGCGTGCTTCATCCAACCGGGTTTTACATACTGCCTGTGTCGGTGCAGAGACGACCAATTCTCGGGGAGCATTCCACGGGTGATAGACACGAAGGGAAAAGAAATTCCTGTGGCACTCCAGCCCGCTACACTGTACAGCGAGTTTTAATGAGTGGCCCCTCAGGGTCGTGTTGGTGCTGGGTCGCCGTAAAAAACTGCACACACGATGTGGATCTCGCAGAATCAAGCATGCCATAATCAGGTAGCCTCGTAAGCTGCGATATCTTCCGCTGAATGCCCCCAATCATTTAAGCTTCTCCTCCTATGAAAGGTTGCGCGTTCTAATTACGTTCTTAGGTGCCCGATGTTGAGGCTGCTCCAATGCCTTAACGTCGTATTTCAGCCATGGATGCCAGGCTTGAATTGCGTATTCGACATGGGGGCCAACATACGCACTAACCATTTGTCGAAATACGCAGCAGTTTACTTGTCCGAACGTCCGTTGCAACAGCACGACGTGTTGGTTTCCAGTCTTCGAAGACTTTCGGATTGCCTGGAGCAACCCAAGTCATATCGAACCCGGACTCCCAAGTCCTGTTCGAGAGTGGATTGTTGTAGTATATTCGTTCCCAGCCGGTATGGGAAGCTGCTCTGCTGTCGGATAGAAACTACCTTGCATTTTCTTACGTTTAAATTCAGTAAATTTTGGTTTGACCTTTGATACACCGTATCTAGGTTACGCTGAAGCAGATGCTGATCGGCGTTCATCTGGATCATGTGCCAAATCTTAATATCGTCAACAAACATAAGGAAGTTTGAAGCGATTCCTTGTTCAAGATCATTAATAAACACAAAAACAAACATGGACCTAGAACTGAGCCTTGCGGCACATCACACTCAACTTGTATTGGGTCAGTTAAAGAGCTCCGAACTCTGCCCACTAATTGCCGTTAAAGTAGAAAGTTGGCAATCCAGCCTGAAAGATGGTCGCCGATCCCGTAATGCTGGAGCTTGGAGAGTACTCTCCGATGGTCTAGACGATCGAAAGCCTTGGACAAATTCAGACAGGTCACATCAATGCCTTCTCCAGCGTTAGCTGACTCGGTTCAATTACTGCGTGCGATTAGTAAATTCGTTGTGCATGACCACTGTCGACGGAAACTGTGCTGCTCAGGCGTGTTGATGTTACAGTTTTCCAGATAGCACACCAATGCATCGGCAAATATAAATTCCATTACCTTGGAGAGTATAGGAAGAAGGGATACTAGGCGGCAGTTAGAGGGATTAGTTGTGCTTCCACCTTTGTGGATCGGGGTTATTATTCCAATCTTCCATATAGCGGAAGATTGGTTCTAGTCTAAACAGCGTTGGATAAACTGAGCTGAAGTTCCTGCCAGTTGGCTTTCTGCTGCTTCCAGTGCCTCTGCACGAATGCTGTCGACACCCGGCGAGCTGTGCTTGCGGAGAGACGTCAGCTTTCGCAATAAGCCTCCGCGGTAAAAGTGATGTGGATTAGTCCTGGAGAGGAGGTGACAAAGGTTGCAAGATCGCTTGGTAGCAAGACCGTCTGAAACTTGGGGGCGTATTACATCCGCAACGCGTTTGCTGCTTCCACAGCCGTTCTTCCCAGGCCATCGGCCGTTCTGAGTGAAAGGAATCCTTGTCTCAACTTTCGTAGGCTATCGACGTGCATGTGTAGCAGTTTGTGGTTAGCACTGAAGGTTTTTGCGATGTTGTGCTGATAGGCGGCTTCGTCTTCTCTTCGCAGCTGAGTGCAGTGGTTCCGTTGAGCTACGTAGTTCTCCTAAGTTTCTGGTGCTGGAGCCTTCCTGTACACTCGCCATGCTGCGTCGCGTACTGTCATCCATTTTCGAGTTCTGCTCCTAACGTGAAAAACTGATGTACGTTTATTGCAAACTCTTATTTCTGAAGCCTCTGCAATCAGCTGACTGAATTTATTGACGAACTCTAGCCAGGCGACTTCCGGGGGTTCTTCGGCGAGGAACAACCAAGTTGTAGCGCTGACGGGCTGGGCTCATCGATCGTACCTTGTGCTGGTTCGCACAGTCTCATCGTTCTCATTCCCAAATTGTGCATAACAGACGAAGTTGAAACTACTGACGGCGTGATCACTGCGACCCAACGGGCTGTCTACAACCAACACATCAATCATATGCTGTCGCTGCTAAGCCCAGAGGACCTGTTACCTTTTCTGAACCGAGTGGCAAAGTGATGTGATTGTAAAGAGGAACACTGGTTACGAGATGTCGTAGATGGGATGTGAATAGTTCTCCGATCATGGCAGGACTTTCTACACAATGTATCTTGAAATCACCCACTCTAAGTATGAGTGTACTTTCG